GAGGGATTTACCAAGAAGGATGACAATGCAATCTTAAGGTTCAGGTGAGAGCTCGAGGGTGGAAAAAGCTATTCCTTCCGCTGAAGTGTGCTCGCAGAAGAGGGAAATAAAGCAAAAACTGTTATTCCTTGTGATTATGCGGAAAGGAGCTTCGTCTGGTTTTTGGTCTGGGCTACATGAATCTGTCTCGAACATGGGGACAACGAATGATGAAGTGTCCTTGTTCTTTCATTTCTATCATGAGGCTCAGCGAGACATGAGACGAGGTAACGAACACATCTATGAGGCGCGATTCCAGGGAAAGGGAGAGTAGCACACTTCTTTGCACTGTACGAAACGCGAGGTCCATCCTTCCATTTAGTAGCAAGGGGAACAAATTTGCAATTCTCGATAACTTAAGAATATTGTCTCTACGTTGATGATGTCTAATGTGTAAACATTCTTTCGATGTTGATTGCAAATGTTGGAATATCTTTCGTAGAAGTGTCACAACTTTCCAAATCCTCAAAAGTGAAAAAGTTGACAGATGCCAATAAGAAAGATGAAACAGTCTGTAATCAGCAATAATTTCGGTTTTCTAGCAAGCAGTCTAAGCCTAACGGAATGACAACTAATTTCATTTTTTATAAAGTAACTTTCGATTAATGATATTGCTGATGATTGGATGCTTTTGGAGGCATCTAGGGAGAGTAATTTACACAATTTATATTAATATGATTACGCTTCTTACACATTAAGGAAACATCAAACCTAGACAGGCAAAGGAAAATGGGAACGCCGTCGTAACGTCACTAAGAGGAAGGGGGGGGGGGGAAATCTATATCAAGGCCGAGATACCAAGCCGAGTTCACGATCGACGCCTGTTAAAAGGAAATAGGGGAAAATTCCGTTTCTTTCTGATACCTGCGAGGATATGATGCGTTTTGCAAATAGAGGAGGACATTCGCGATTCAACTGTCATGACAGAAAAAAGGATGTGTGGAATGACGGCGACTCACTCGCGTCAGCATTGTTCTGTGCAGGGTTCTAAAGAAAGAATCGGATGATCCCCCCATCCCCTTCCTCTGAGCTTTTCCTCATGGGAGATCTTCACCGAAGGAAAGACTGTTTCGCCTAGCATCTTGCACTTCCTCGTCCCATTTCCATTCTTGGTGTTCGAATGGGAGGCCTGAGGGGGTGGTTGAAGAAAGGGAAAGCATTTGAAAAGTGGTTTTCACATTACTTCATCCACTGATATACAAATCTGGTGTCATTTCCCTCATGTCTCTTCCTTCCCACCACCTCATCTTTCCCCTTCCCCCCTCACCCTCCCCTTTCGCCCTCACCCTCCCCTTCCCCCCTCACCTTCTCCCGCCCCTTCCTCTCTCCATCCCCCTCCTTCCTTGCCCTCTATTCTCCACTACTCTCTTGAATATTCAACCCACAAATTTCGAATTGCATTAGGAATAAAGTTCAGATTAATATAGGTTCTTGGTCTCTCTGCTTCCCAGATGACACATTCATTGTTTCATATCTCTTTGGGCAGTAGAGTAATAACCAGAGTAAGCTCATCTCCGAATCATCACATGGAACAACAGTTCTATTATTTTCTTTTTTTGCAAATCCTTTTTTTTTTCTCCTCTGGCGCTCTCCTGCCTGACCCTGACGATTGGCTTTGTCATCTTTCCAGAAAAATCTCAATTTTTCTCTTGCGCGTCGCTCGGGTAGAGGCTATTCCAGATTCTAAAAAATCTTTGCCTCGGCCTCCAGTCCCCAAGAGACGCGTGAGGTCAATGCAAGGTTGCTGCAACGTGGCATGAGGTAAGTGACGTTGTGGTAACGTCGCATAGTAGCCATTTATATATATATATCTTATATATTATATATCTTATAAATTATATATCATATATATAATATATCTTATATATTATATATCTGATATATTATATATATTATTTATATATATATCTTAATATCTTTCTGGCTTAGGTCACCAACTCATCTGGCACTAGTAACTCAGTCCATCTCTGGGCGTTTCTCACCTCGCCACAGAAAGCACTCCGAAAGAAGGTCACAGTCGCTTCGCGTTCAGGGGCCGATCAGTAGGTCAATAGTCAATCTGCCACACACTCCACACGAGACAGAACTCACTGGAGATTGTTAAAAAAGAAAGTGTAATTGGGAGTCTCTGATGACGGGAACCATCTTCCCTTTCTCAATCTAATACCCGAGAGTTCTGAATTCGATCGGCGTTGTCTCATCGTAATACCAAAGGTGTCATTCGAAAGCTTGTAACCTGGTGGCGATAACTATTGCGTCGAAAGCTCAAAATTCCTACCATTTTCACGTCACGGAGCCTAATTTCAGCGAGAAGAACAGCCTCGTACCGAATGCCTTTCTGTGTGCTCACAACCAACGATGAGAGTACGAGGTGTCGTCCGCCACGGATGTTGTTGCTATGGTAACTGCTGGCAATGATCAGATGTCGTAGTTTGTCGCGTTACCAGGCACGTCGCCGGTTGACGACAGTGCTTCGCATTAGTTAGCAGCATTGAGTTAGTGTTCCAGATTATTAATCTCAATTTTGGTGTTCTCTAATTGCACGTAACAGGAGGGGAAGCCAAAATTATTCTGCGGTGGGATCCATTGAACGTGAAGGAAAGAGAAACGGTCTGGAGTCACTGTCAGTGGATGTCATGCCATCCCCGTCTTAACATCCCCGTTATGCCATCCTCTTCATGACATCCCAGTAGTGCCATCCCCTTTTTGACATACTCGTATTTTTCACTGCCTATGGTCGACCCTGAACTAAAAATCTCATCGGGAAAGAGATTCTTCGTAAACTACGTCATCGTCAGGTTGAGAAGAGTGTCGTCTCCTGGAAAGACGGGTGTATCACGCATCCATACTTTTTTTTACACGTTTATCTTACTTAAAAAATGAGGAAAAATACAGATACAGCATTTATTCGACTCTCGACGACAAATCTTGTTCGAACACGGTTTTATGAGAATCGAACCGCTTTCGAGATGGAAGAGGAGGAAATGAAGCAGCCTTCGACGGCCTGAAACGAAATTGTTACCCCAAATGGGCAATTGGGAACTTGCACCATGTCCCCTGCAATGGATTTACTGCACGTCCGTTGCCGTGCATTTCCCCACGTCCGCGGCCGCGCAATATACCGTGTCCGTGTGCCTTACCCTTCGCACTGCGGGCAGGGGGAGAGCCGATGCAAGACGAAATCCCACGGAAGTGTCAAACTGAATATGCTATCTGTCGAGATTTAAAATTTGAGAAGCTCACGACCGGATGTCTAGATATGTTGCGACATGATCGGAGACGGGAATCGTCGAGAAAATAGACCCGTAATTTGTGATTCTTTTCTCGGGTTCGATTAAACGCAGTCAAGAATTTTCCCTCAATCAAAGATGCACTGGGGAAGAGAAGGAAACAGGTTTTTCTCATTTCTGCCTCGAACGATGCCGAAATTGTGAGTCTCATACCAGGAAAACTAAATTTGCGACAATTTTCGATTATAGTTTGGATGGACCTGAAAAATAGCTCTCAGGGGCTTATTTATTGAACATTACATTACATTATCTATTGAACATTATTACACATCTTACACTATAGGGAAACACGAAACCAAGACAGGCAAGGGAAAGTGGAACGCCATCGTGACGTCCTTGAGAGGACAGGGGGGGGGGGGAATCTCCGTCATGGCCGAGATGTCTCGCCAGTCCGAGTTCAGGATCTACGCCTGTAATGTGGAAAAAGGGGGTAAATTCCTTTTCCTTCTGATACCTGAGAGGATATGATGCATTTTGGAAAGAGAGGAGGACATTCGCGATTCAACTGTCATGACTGTCGTAAAAAAAAAGGATGTGTGGTATGACTGCGACTTACTCGCGCCAGCATTGTTCTGTGCAGATTTCTAAAAAGAAATCGGTTGCTTCCCCCGACCCCTACCTCAGAGCTTTTCCCCATGAGAGAGCTTCACTGAAGGAAAGACAGCTTCGCCTCGCATCTTGCTCTCCATTGTCTCATTTCTATTCCTGGTGTTCGAGTGAAAACTACAAAACACAATCCTACAAATTCTTTGTCATTGAGTACACGATCGTTTGGGCGTCAACATGAAAAAGTACAAAGGACGTCTTAAGGGCAATTGCTGTCAATAAAAAAAAATCTTTTTTTTTTTCGTTTATCCACTGATATTGTAGATTCCTGGTGTCATTTCACTTGTGTCTATCCCTTCTACCAACTCATCCATCCCCCTTTCCTTCCCACCTCCCCTCTCCCTTTCACTCCTCCCCTTCCTTCCCCCCTTTCCCTCTCCTCTCCTCTACTACCTGAAAAATTCAAACCTGACATTCCTGCCGCGGTAGCGCCTATTACCTCTCTTCAACCCCATCCCGCATGAAAATTCATTCTCCTCGTATCCTTCTCTGAGAGCATCAACAGCAACGAAACTTGGCATAAATTTTCCTCTCTCACTACGGAATCGCTCCAGCAAATTTGAAGCTCCATCGCTTCTCCAGCAAGAAATGCCATTCCACAAGATACCAAAGAGTGCTTATCCCTTTCTGTGACAAGAATGTTTAATAGTATCAAAGGTCCAAAGAATCTCACTTGATCTGTTTTTTTTTTATTATTTCGACCTAATTACTACGACATCTCTCCCCTCTTGCTTTTACTTTTTCTTTACATTACGACATCGGTTGGTTTTATGTAGCACATGATAAAATGATACACCCAAAGTTGCGAGCTACGGTTTACGCCAAGGAGATATCCCAGGTGCGATTGTCTTCTAGGCCTGAAAGTATAGGAAGGGGAAAGTAAAGAAAGCCTGAAGTTATTTCGATGCTGGATGGCTTGGGAGAGCGATGCTGGTTGCCGACGAGATTCATTTCAGGGTCAGAAGTGAAGTGTTCTCTCATGGCATTATTCCTGCGTGTTTCCCGAGATCTTCGCCAGTCTCCTTTCGCAAAGTGACTCGTACAAATCGTGCAAATAGACGAACGATCGGTTTATTCTCCAGTGGTCCGACGTTTGGAGACAGAAATCACAGCTCGGTTTCTAAGGGTTCGCTGGTACGGGCAGGCCTGGCAACGACGGCCAGGAGGGCGTCGAACAACGTCACCTCCAGCCGCCAGTACGAGAACCGCTCGGAGGCCGACGAGGACGTCGACGTGGAATGCGACAGGGAGCGTCGCTCTTGCCGTTGCTGCTGGGAGGTCATCCTCTGGACGCAATCCGAGAATGTCTTCTCCTGGAAGTCGATCAGAGAGGTCTCGGAGTATTGGAGGATGGCGGCGCACAGCTGGCCCACGGTCCAGCCTCTTGCGAGGATCGCGGTGGTCAACTCCTTCAGCTGCAAGTTTCAACGGGAACGAGTTCGCATGCAGTTGATCGTTTTATAACAGGCACTGTGCAAAGTAACGGTCTCTATCTGATGGGATTTAAGATTTTATTGTTGTTGATGGCTGCACGATGAGGAGTGGGAAGAAAACCGGACTTTTCAACTGTAAATAATAATAACAATAATAATAACTGAGAAATTCCATTGCAGCCAGATAGAACCACCCTAAGGTAATGAAGGGACCTGCAGTAAACATGCAGAGCTCGTTATGTTAGTCCTCGTCCCTCTCCCTTTTATCTAAAGATGATGCATGGATGCACCCATACCCGGCCGAGTCGAGGCTGTCCGAAGGTATAGTAGAGCAAGCACGGGGCCTGGGCCATGCTGGCAGCCAGCCACTGGATGAGGGCCTTCAGCTGGGGATCCCCGCTGCGAGAGCCACAACCCCAGTTCCCGGTTGCGATCGGGCGAGCGTCCCCCTCCTGCCTCGTCGCCGGCAGGGGCAGTCCCTCGACCTGCAAGGTCAACCTGTAAATCAATTCCTGTCGGATTCTGATGGATCGGGCAGTCGGGTGGAAAAATAAAAATTGCTAGGAAGCAAGGAAACGTTATCTGTTACGAGGAAATGTCAATTACGTTGTTGCCTATGCAGGCTCAGGAGCTTACATAGTTCCTTTCTCTTTGGGAATTCAGGAGTTTAACAAGCATTATTCCTATTGATAGTGTCCGTTTTCGTCCATGAGTAAGGTAGGAAAAATTGGCAGAATAAGGAATGTCGGTCGCGAAAACGATAAGACCGTAAGATCGGGTCAAAACCTGCAAGAGTAATTTAAAACTGATTTGAAAATGGAAGCTTAGCGGTAGCTCCGTCTCAGTTCCAGTCCGGTCGTCATCTCATCGAATCTGATACGTGGAAGACTATAGCCGTCTCGTCGCACAGATGATTCACAAGGAGACTAGAGCAGTATTGTCCGTCAGCGTGCTTCGAGCAAAATAGGCTTTCAAATCTTCAACGAAATCAGCTAAAAAAAAAACTTCAAAGAGAAACAAACTTCCGAAACGCAAATTTTGTTATACCAGGTGGATGAGTCATCCAGTTTAATTGATGGAAAATTTGCATCTGAGATGCAAGAGTGTCAGTCCGTTTCAAACGGGGTGCTGATGCAACAATTGCATAACGATTATTCGACTATTGAATTCTCAGGCCTTCCTGCATCGATGCAAACCCGCATCCGGCGGAATCGCATCGGCACGGAATGAGAAACAATCAGAGGCGGCAAACAGTCAGTGATGTGCCGGGGGGGAAGATCAGAACAATTCATGTGATTTTCCTAACCTGTCTAGATTTTTTTTTTTTCGTTTGTTTGGTGCCTTCAAGGGCAATCCAGTTTCCATGCCAAACTTGTTTCATCCGCTGTCACAACTGCGAGAGCAAGAGAGAGGGAGAGGGAGGAAGATGGGAAAAGGAAATCACTCTTCCCTTACGGAAATGTCCTATAGGAAACCTATAGACTTTCCTATGGGTTTTTGAAACACGAAAAGCCTATAGGATCCTTTAGGATCCTATTAATACCAGTACTGCAGGGGTCTGCATAATTTATGGCTCCGCTCCACACGTGTCGCTGGATTGCACGTCTACTTCCTTCGGTAGGAAGAAGTAGTATTCTTCTCTCGACCTAAGGAAAAAGAAGACGGAACCTGCGAGCACGTCTCTTTACTGAAACTCCACTTGGATAGAGTCAACTCATTTATTATTATTATTATTTATTATAAAGTTAGGAGCTAAATGCATGATGGGCCCCGCTGTCATGTGGTGGACCGACACATGACTCTCGCCCACCATGGTGAGATCCTCCCAACATGAGGAATGGCAGAGAGCAAGACCCTCATGAAGCTAATGACCTTAGCCCTGAGAAGGTGACTCATGGCTATGGGGGAGAAGTCAACCCGAGAAAGAGCTGCTTCTCCCCCAGGATCCCTCCCTTGAGGTTTTTTATCTTTAGGGGTTTAATTAAAGAGTAAGGAACCATGCGGCCTTATTAAGAAAGCAACCTGAATTTATTTAGGTTAGTATCAGTGTTTTGGGGCGCTTAGTACCCTTACGAAAATGTCTTATAGGATTCCTATATA